AATGACCAGATCTGTGTGTGCGCTAATGACCAGATCTGTGTGTGCGCTAATGACCAGATCTGTGTGTGCGCTAATGACCAGATCTGTGTGTGCGCTAATGACCAGATCTGTGTGTGCGCTAATGACCAGATCTGTGTGTGCGCTAATGACCGGATCTGTGTGTGTGCGTTAATGACCGGATCTGTGTGTGCGCTAATGACCAGATCTGTGTGTGCGCTAATGACCGGATCTGTGTGTGCGCTAATGACCGGATCTGTGAGTGCGCTAATGACCGGATCTGTGTGTGCGCTAATGACCAGATCTGTGTGTGCGCTAATGACCAGATCTGTGTGTGCGCTAATGACCAGATCTGTGTGTGCGCTAATGACCGGATCTGTGTGTGCGTTAATGACCGGATCTGTGTGTGCGCTAATGACCGGATCTGTGTGTGCGCTAATGACCGGATCTGTGTGTGCGCTAATGACCAGATCTGTGTGTGCGCTAATGACCAGATCTGTGTGTGCGCTAATGACCGGATCTGTGTGTGCGCTAATGACCAGATCTGTGTGTGCGCTAATGACCGGATCTGTGTGTGCGCTAATGACCGGATCTGTGTGTGCGCTAATGACCGGATCTGTGTGTGCGCTAATGACCGGATCTGTGTGTGCGTTAATGACCAGATCTGTGTGTGCGTTAATGACCAGATCTGTGTGTGCGTTAATGACCAGATCTGTGTGTGTGCGTTAATGACCGGATCTGTGTGTGCGCTAATGACCAGATCTGTGTGTGCGTTAATGACCAGATCTGTGTGTGTGCGTTAATGACCAGATCTGTGTGTGCGCTAATGACCAGATCTGTGTGTGTGCGTTAATGACCAGATCTGTGTGTGCGCTAATGACCAGATCTGTGTGTGCGTTAATGACCAGATCTGTGTGTGCGCTAATGACCAGATCTGTGTGTGCGCTAATGACCAGATCTGTGTGTGCGTTAATGACCGGATCTGTGTGTGCGTTAATGACCAGATCTGTGTGTGCGCTAATGACCAGATCTGTGTGTGTGCTAATGACCGGATCTGTGTGTGTGCTAATGACCAGATCTGTGTGTGTGCGTTAATGACCAGATCTGTGTGTGTGTGCTAATGACCAGATCTGTGTGTGCGCTAATGACCAGATCTGTGTGTGCGCTAATGACCAGATCTGTGTGTGCGTTAATGACCAGATCTGTGTGTGCGTTAATGACCAGATCTGTGTGTGCGTTAATGACCAGATCTGTGTGTGCGTTAATGACCAGATCTGTGTGTGCGTTAATGACCGGATCTGTGTGTGTGCGTTAATGACCGGATCTGTGTGTGCGTTAATGACCAGATCTGTGTGTGCGTTAATGACCAGATCTGTGTGTGCGCTAATGACCAGATCTGTGTGTGCGCTAATGACCGGATCTGTGTGTGCGCTAATGACCGGATCTGTGTGTGTGCGTTAATGACCGGATCTGTGTGTGCGCTAATGACCAGATCTGTGTGTGCGCTAATGACCAGATCTGTGTGTGCGTTAATGACCAGATCTGTGTGTGCGCTAATGACCAGATCTGTGTGTGCGCTAATGACCAGATCTGTGTGTGCGCTAATGACCAGATCTGTGTGTGCGCTAATGACCAGATCTGTGTGTGCGCTAATGACCAGATCTGTGTGTGCGCTAATGACCAGATCTGTGTGTGCGCTAATGACCAGATCTGTGTGTGCGCTAATGACCAGATCTGTGTGTGCGCTAATGACCGGATCTGTGTGTGTGCGTTAATGACCGGATCTGTGTGTGCGCTAATGACCAGATCTGTGTGTGCGCTAATGACCGGATCTGTGTGTGCGCTAATGACCGGATCTGTGAGTGCGCTAATGACCGGATCTGTGTGTGCGCTAATGACCAGATCTGTGTGTGCGCTAATGACCAGATCTGTGTGTGCGCTAATGACCAGATCTGTGTGTGCGCTAATGACCGGATCTGTGTGTGCGTTAATGACCGGATCTGTGTGTGCGCTAATGACCGGATCTGTGTGTGCGCT